CTGTGAGGTAGGATTAACCTGATGGGGCCACTCCGCAGTGAGAAGCAGAAGTTGGATTTACACGCAGGCAGGACTGTTTCAGGAAGCCCGAACTGACCACATTGTCTTAAAAAATTACGGACTGTATCCTTCACTTGTACTATGATTTGCCTGTAGCTTTTAGGATATTTTACACATATTCCTCTTCATTATGTTTTTCTCACACCCAGATTTGAGGATTTACATCTGTGTATCATCTCTTTCACCCTGTATCATGTAATTCAGTGTATAGTTTTTGGTTAAGCATAAACTGTTTTCAATAACTTCCAAGTAGAAGGCTTGGATGTTTATTTGTAGGAGAGGGTGTGATGTATGCTAGGAAGTGACTCAGGAACACGAGTTCTTTACGTGCTGTTGAGTCTCAAGCACTTGCAAATTTTAGGCTAGCATAGCTAGTCTCTATAGCTAGCAAAGCTCTAGAGTTTTCCAAGTATGCAGTGGGTGTAAATTTCATAAAACATCAAAAATAAAAATAAAATTGTCACAAATATGGAAACACACAAATCTTTTTCTCCTATCATTAATGTTGGATTTCTAAAATATGTTATCTTTTTTTTTCTTTTTTGCTATTGGGGATCAAATCATGACCTTGTACTTGTTAGGTGGGTGCTTATGCTGCTGAGCTAAATCCCCAGCTCTAAAATAATTCTGATTAAAGGTTCATTTTAATACACCAAACTTGGATCTCTACGGCAGGTCTATGTTATCCTATCATAAAAATGTCGATCTCTTGGCACCACACACTTTTTTTTAAGTTTTCTTTAATGCACAACATCTTGGGGCAAAAATATTAAGTCTAATAAGATAATTTAAATAGTGCAAGCCCACTACAATTTCAGGTAAATGTAGTAAGAGTCTTTTGCACATAAAATGCATATGAGATTTCAAACTAATAAACATGATTTAATCGGTATTCACCGAATAGAGGCAAATATCTGAGCCTTTCTTGTCAGTTTTTCAGAAGCAGTAACGATCTGTAGTGTAAGAAATGTGGACTAAGAACTGCGGCAGGAGTAAAAAGGAATGAAACTAGGTCGTTCTGATCTGTTTCATTCTTCTATTGTTACTTACAACCAGGTGCACAGTACATATCATAAAGAAAACCAACTCTCCAATACGTATTTTGGACTCTTACTATCTTGCATGTATTTTTCCTATCTTTCAAACATTTTGGTTATTAGATACAGATATAAAATAACTTCTACTTTTATCATTTTGAGAAGAAAAGAAGAGTGGCGCCCACTGGTGCTATGTAACTTTGACTGGGAAACACAGGTTTTAAACTGAAAATTTGACTGCGCAAGCCTCTCCATCCAAGCCACCCCACCTCTGTCCTTGTCATGTCAGTAACTAGTGAGTGCCTTGAAGGTAGAGCCCTGAGAATTCCATTCCTGCAGGCAACACTGTAGTTTCTAAAGCAACAGGTCTGTAGCCCTTCATGTGTCCCTAAGGCAGAACATTTGTACTATGTGCTTCTCTCTGTCATACCTTTACTGCAGTCTGAGGCAGCCTTCTTAATGGAATATATTAATATTTTGCAGCATAACATAGAAATATTGCCACCTTATTCATCTTGGACTTTTCTAAAACAGTTAGCAGTGTGCATTACTATGGGTTTCTCTCATCTTTCTCCTTAACTCCTTCCTTTTTCTCCTGTTTTTAACATATATGCTCACAATCCTACTCAAACAGACTCTTGAATGTCTGATGTTCAAATAAATGGATTAAGAGAAAGTGATACGGACCTTCTACATTAACTGTTGGGACTAACTGATCCCTATTCTGAACCTCTATGTAGCCTCATTATGCCAGGTTTTCAAGTGAATCTTTTTATGGGAAAAAAGAAAATAAAAATATATGGGTCTGTTAAAATGAGCACTGCTTTTGCCTTTCATGTCATTATTCCTTTCTCTTGTTTTAGTGGACATTTCTGTATTCAACTCACATGTGAGGCCTTTATGAAGAATCCAGGGCTGCTCATCAGGCTTACACCAGTGCAGCATGCAGCTGACAAGCAACAAATACATTCTTAAGGAATTAGATGAATGAGATAAAACTCCTGAAAAATAAGGGAAGCTATAGCATATTGAATATATACAGAAATATATCTATTTCATCATAGAATGTTTAAGAAGTCTGTAAAGTGTTAGCTGCTGGTAGCTTTGTAAAAAAATAATCCATACCAGGGGGAAAAGTGGCATAAAAGCCTGTGATTTCTGAAGCAAAGAGGACACACTGACATTCACTATAAAACTGGGTGTAGGGGTTAGTTGTTGAAAGTCAAAATATTTTCTAAACTATTTTAAAGCCTGGGTTATTATAGTTGAATATTTTGCTTGAATATTCATGAACAAAACAGTGTACTAAGCAAAAAGTAAACATGTGCTTTAAGCTATTGGTATATGAGATTAACATCTTGTATATAATAATCCAATATGGAGCCCCTTCCTCCTAGTCAATGGCAGTCCTGGATCATGGGTCATAGGGGAGAGAAACAAGAAGTAATCCTCTTCCTGTCAGCCAGTGGCAGCCATGCAAACCACCAGAGGAAGAGAAACAAAAAACTAACTTCTTCCTAGGGCTGAGAAGTGCATGGGCTAGGACACAAGGAGAGCAGAAAAGCCCCAACTCCCTCATAAACAATCAGATGATCTGGGGAAACACAGGCTGGGATAATAGCTACTGAGGCAGGAAAAAAACAACTTAATGCTTGTGGTGTTTGGTATTTGATCTACTTTGCAGGCCTAAGGCCAGTGGTCTGACCTTCTATTTGGAGGATAACAATTTGTAGTACAGCAACTATGGGGGATTTCCTTCTGAAGGTGGGAGCCAGTGCTGATTTCCTATTATCTTGCTTTGAAGTCCCATATCACTTTCATTGTTTTATTTTGATTGGTTCTATTCTGCTCTATTTTGTTTGATTTTACTATGTCTGATGGCATGGGCAGCTATTTTGAAGATAACAAAAGACATTATTGTAGTCATTGTTGATTTCTTATTATCTTGTTTTTGAAGTCCTGTTTTGTTCTGATTGACTTTCTTCTGTTTTATTTTGTTTGGTTTTATTCTTTTAAAACTAAAAAAAAAAAAAAAAAAAAAAAAACCCAAGTAATCTAATATGCATTTTAAAATTCTGAGTTCTGAGGAAAGTTTGCCCACAGACCAGAGTAAATAAAGAGCAGTTTGGCTTTTCCCTTCCCTCTGAAGTTGAAGCCATATTGCCTTTACTGTTCCCTATTGTCAAACAGTTTGCATGATTCACACTACTTTCTTTCTCTAAGGACTTTGAAAAAGGAAAAAAATGACAAGTCATTCGAATCATAATTATATTGATTATATGAGTGCTCAATATCATCCTTTAGTTTCTTCCTTACAGCATGGTTATCATGTCAAAATATTTTGGTCTCGCGATGAAAGTTTTAAGTGTGGTTCAAATTTTAATAAAAACTCTAGGAATTTCTATATGGTTTCAGTCACCAGGTCCTGCTCTGTGCTGTTTTCTACGTGATGACTGTATTCATACCCTTCTGCAACTGCTTTCATGGTTTGCTGTAGAATAAGTTGTAAAATCAGTTGCTGTAGAATAAGTTGTGTTCATTATCTTTCCCTTCCCTTACTCTGCCACCTCCACCTGGAGTCTTTACCTTTTGTGTTATTGGTGCCCACATTCCTCGGTGTTCAGGAAATCAAATTTTATTAAGAAAGGGAAAAGATTTTACATGGCGGTAAAAAACCCCGGTAGACTGGATAATGCACACCTCGTTACTCATTCCTGCTTTGCAAGTAGGTCCTTCTGTCATTCTGTTTGATACACTTGAATACACTTTTTAAGGACCTACTCTAATTTTATCATTATATTCATCCAAAGAATTACACAAGCAAGATTTTTAAGATTATCTGGCTTGACTTTGAATCTAATTGCAGAGAAGACAGTCATAAAGGAGGAGAATGACACTAGAAATTACTGTAAATCAAATAAGGATGTGATGTGAAATAGATAGCAGTTAAAAATATATAGATCTTGGCTAGAGAAGCTGAATTCAAGATGTACATTTGCAACATTTTATTCTTTCATTATAAAAATTATGTAAATTTTTTATAGTGCACTAGGTAAGATCTTGACTGAGGAATCTGACCTCTTCTAAATTCTGTCTCTGCCATTTACTCTCTGTGTGACCCTGGGCAATCTACAATTTCTCTAAGCATCATTTTCTCGCTTTGCCATAAAGGTTCCTGTGAGGAGTAAACAGGATAACTATTAAGCATGGCACCTGGTGCCATGTTTTCTATTTTTTAAAATACCTTGACTAAATCATGAATTCTTAGTTTCTGCATACATAAAATAGGAATCACATTAATACCTTATTTACATAGCTGTTATGAGTACCAAAGAAAGTACGAAGGATATTGAGGTTTATCTAGGATACATATATATGCAAGTACATGCATGCATGATTAAAAATATAGAAAATAAGAATAAAATGGTAATACTTTAAGATATTGGGAATTAAAAACTATCAAAAGAGGGATGAGAATGAGATATTAAATGTTATCACAATTTTATGGAAATGGAAACTCAAGTTTTTGAAGGATAAGTAATTTGGTTAGGCTTACTCTCTAGTGAGCAGATTCAACCTGGAAGTGGTCTACCTTCTATACATTTCACAACAGTGACAAACCAAGGTGTGATCGAGCCTGGGCATAAGCCCATGCTTCCCTAACCTTAGTATCCAGGATATTTTCACTTAGTAAATGATCTCTCAAAAGGATCAGAATGAGAAAGGATCTTCATTAGTAAGCACGTGGCTGGGTAGTTTTAACAAACTCCTGGGGCTCATAGAATACATAATAAAACTGACCTTAACCGTATGTCTGCCTGACCAAGAAGCCCATGCTCATCTCCCCATGTCTCCTAGCCTCCCTCATCCATTTTGGATAAAACCCTCATAGACAAGACTCACTTTTTTTGGCTTCTTCTAGCTTGTCTTTGGCCCTTTTCTCTGCCTGCAGGAGCTGGTGAATTCCTTGAGACTGGCTGGTCATGGCGCCTTGTTCCGGGTGAAGCAGTTTCTGTGAAACCTGGGAAATGGCAGGTCCATTTGTTCTTTCAGAGAACAAGGCACAGTTCAGATTGTTGTGGCAACAGTGAACACCTCGCTGTCTCTTCTAGATTGGTCTGATTGAGCCAGGTAATTGGGTGGCAAGGAGAGGCCAAGGTGAAATCCAGAAAAACAAGTTAAGTCAATACAAGGAAGCTGAGAACTCACTATTTCTGCCAATTTTTTTTTTTTACCTCTTTTTTTTGTGAAAAAATAGAGACTTTAGGAGGCTGCTGAGTCTGCTTATAAAAACATAAGTCAGATTTCTTCTGGGATATTAGTTTCTCAAAATCTTGAAAAAATTTGACTTGTTTACTGAAATTATCTCAGTTATGAATTTTTTAAAGTCTTTGTTCATATAGTATAAGTTTCAGGTTTTATCTGTTTCAAATGATTCAATTCTCTACTTGGGGCAAAGGTATTAACCCTACACTAGGAAAGAGATTCCCTGTCCTTGGGCATAGAAGATGGATCAGAAATCTATTCTAGTCCTTTCCTAAGCTTCAGGTGATAGAAATGTAAAGGGTTTTTTTGTGTGTGTGTGTTGCTCTCTCGTAATTCCTTCTTGAAGTTCCAGAGTGACCTAAACAATGATAAGGGAAATTATAGCAGTTGGTTTTGATATTAAATTAAAATAAGCTAAGTAATTTTTTATTACCCCATGTTATGTTAGGTATTATCCTAATAGAGCAGTAATTCCACACACTTGATACTGTTCAGTAGTGACTGGAAAAAAATAAAAATGGTGGTCATTATGGCGAATCATAAAGTGACATTTGTATGTATCTAATTTTTATTTGAAGTGAAAAACTAATCTTTTGGTGTAAACAGTGAACTGCTTTCAAAAACTACATCTTCTATTGGCTCTTCTATCAATGCCACTTTTATTATTGTAAATAGGTCTTTAGATTTAAAGCAACTATGAAATAACTGAGAGCTAACACTTGTACAGTTTTAATACTTATTTTCCCCTATTCATCTTTAGTTGTCTCATCCATACCTACACAGTACAATATCTGTGGGTCACCTGTAACAAATCTTTCCAAAAGAAAAGCCTTTGCTTCAAAAGATCACTCCTTTCTTTTGACACTAATATTAATCAGCTTGTAAAATAGTTTTTATTGCATGATTTCAATAATTACTGGGATTCAGATAAATGCACTTGTGAGTAATCATGGTTCTTGGTAAATATCCATTTTTACTCAATTTTAGCCTACCAAAGAAATCAGCACTTTTTGCTAATTTAGAGATTGGAGATCTTTGACATATGTAGAGACTGTTACATCTACTTGTACCAACAGTTTATTAGCGATTTCCTGTGTGAAATTTTCTGAATAAGATCTAATATAGATTTAAGAAAGGGTAATCCTAATCCTAATCCTAATCCTGCTCCACTAGCATTAGGATTAGGGTAAGAGAATGATTTTTAACATTGTTTGGAAATGCAGTGTGTCCTAAGGGATGGAGGATAAAATTTTGCTATAATTGTAACAAAGTATTCACCTAGGTTTTTATCATTGAAGTCTTCTGTAGTCTACAATAAACTCCTTATTGGTCCAGTCTTAATTCTTTCCTGTATGCTTCATTCTATTTGAAGTGCATTTACATTAATAACAAAATTTGTGTTAATGTATTTTAATAATCTAAAAAAATATTATACTTTCATATATTTATTTAGAATGGAAAAATGTAATTATGTGAAGTATAAAAAACATTTAGCATAACTTTCTGCCAGTGCCTCAAGGAAATATACATCAGTGATTTGCTTTGGGACTAATAATAGTTTAGGTAAATTAAAACAGTCAGGACACAGCAATGGTCTAATTAAATTTTGGCCTGACAAAGTAATCAAACTTCAATATAATTCTGTATTTAAACCTTGATAGTAGTAAATATAACTTTTGAACAACCTAGATATTCACTTAGAAAAAAGGAATGCAACAATAATGATATTGTTAGGCCCTCTCAAATTATCTGTGATTTCTAGTAAACCTATATCAATGGTAGAAATTTTTAATCATGTCTTCTTTAAGATCTCTCAAATAAGTTTTAATTTTATGACAAAAATTTTCTTTCTCTTCATCTACTTAATAGAAGGGGTTTATGGCTAAAAAATATAAATAACACATTGCCTGATCTCTTTGGTCAAAAAATGGGAGATGGAATATCTGGAAGAAGGCTCAAGAGAGAGAAAGGCTTCAGGCATAACTCACAACTAGAGCGAGTGGGTCTCACCCTCTCCTTACCCTCAAAGGCTTTGACTTTCTGTGAAAAGAAGGGCTGGAATAATCCATCCAGGAACAGAGAAAGATGGCAAGGAAATTTTTCATTTCAACCTTGGCTCATGGTAGAAGACAAAAAACTTAAGGCCTAAACTCAAGTAGGTTTGAAATTTTATCTCTGAATGTTCTGAGGACATAAACCACATTGAATATGAGTTCATGATCTAAATTGCAAAATGAATGAGAAAGTAAACTTGAGAAGAGGTGAGTAGAATGGTGATAGGTAGAAGCAAAAGCTTGGTGATGGAATTTGAATGCTATTGTCTTTGAAATGGATTATTATCAACCAGATGCCATAACTGAGCTCTCTTTTTAAAAAAATAGGTGATTCTTGATGTGACTTTGTATTTATGAAATCTAGTATATTAAGGATAAACATACTTTTAAAATATGTTATATACTCATAATCTGGATTTTGAACACCTTTTAAATGTTTTGTGTTAGGAAATCAATGAACATTGAGCATTTTAATTCACTAACAAAACACCAACTATGTGCCAGAAACTGACTATGGTGCATTGAAATTTAAATGTATATTTTCATGTTTAACTCGTTTGATTCTCACGAAAAAATCTTATTTGATGTTCTGGATATATGTGTTATTATCATGTCCCATACTGATTTAATTGATAAAGTAATGATAGCCCCCCCCCCAAATATGCAAGATTAGTGGTTAGGAAACTACAACATAGGAAACCTGAGGGACAAACCCAAGGTCAGAGAGCGTCACAGTGGAAGAACTGAGCTGATTTCACAATCACTGATCTTCCTGCTAAACATTACTCACCACTTACTTCCATAATTCTTATCCCTTAATGAGAAGAAAGGTAACCAACGATTACCAATCAGCATTTCACTGCGTATAAAACTAATAGTGTGGATCAATTAAAATTATATGCTTTGTGTTAGTTTGCTATCATTGTGACAGGTATCTGAGATAACTTATTGAGGAAAAAAGATATTTTGGCTCACAGTTTTAGAGGGTTCAATTCATGGCTTGTTGGTACCACTGCTCTGGGTCTGAGATGATTCATTATGTTAGAAACATACAGTGAAGTGAAACTCTCATGTCCAGGAAGCAGGGGAGGGAAGAAGTGTGTTAAGACAGTAGAATCCCACAGTCTCTGTGAGGCCATCTCCCACATGACCTGGTGCAAAACTCCACCTCTAAAAGGTTTCTCCACCTCCCAATAAAACCAACCTGGGAACTAAGTCTTTTAACACACAAGCCGTGGGGGCCATCCCACAGCTAACCTGTAGCAGTGCTTGAATAACTGATAACAAGAATATCATGAGACTTTGTCTTAGCCTAGGTCTCCTTAATTCATGAAGATTCCCCCCGCTCAAGGGTTATTATTCTAAGCACCTAGAATTCTTCCTATTCTATTTGTGTTTGCATGTCTTGATTTTCTTTATGTATTCTGTTGTATCTAGAAATTAAACCAAGAAAGATTTTCTTTAATTAGAATGATGTCATTTTTATTTCTATGCCAATAGAATGTTTATGTTGATGAATTTTTTGTGTTATTACAGAAGAGGCACAAATTATTGATCATGGGCTTATGATTTATTGTGGATGATTTCCACTATCTTTATTATATGATGTTATTTCATTATTTTAAATGACAAACAGCTATACATCTTTTAAAACCACATGGAGTGGAAGGTTTTTTTTCAGTCAGGATTGAAAATGGAAATATTAGTCACGGTAACTTTGTAAAAAAGGAAGTGCAAGTGTAGTGTAGTATATTTTTAAGTCCTTGCTCTTTGATTCCCTTTTCTAAATTCTTCCATATTTCCTTTTGAATGGTGAAAAAATAATAAATTTACCAAAAATAATACAAATTTTAAAACAAATCTGTGTATTTGGGACTCACAATGATTAAATATTAAAGAATTACAATAAAATAACTCTTTTGCTAATCCTTAACTTGGAAATTTAGCCTTGAATGTTTTGAATAGTTGTAATTATAAATTTAGCAAATGTTCAGTATAGTTTTTTGAAGTTTCATTTCCACCCAGACTTCCTCTTATCTATTCCATCGTTGCCCATATATAGTTCAGTTCATCATATGATCCTTTTTTTTCTTTTTGCCTATATTGATTTTGTCACCGAGTCTGAGTAACAGTGAAAATTAGATTGATTCCTGGTTTTCTGAAGATCTAGAGCTTCCAGATATCTTACAACTGCAAACGTAAATCCAAGACAAAACCCAAAGATGTGATCTGGATGTTTCTACAAATCAGAGTATCCTCCATTTGTTCTTTATAGCTTATATATATTAATGTTGATGGATTTTATGTGTTAGTATATAAAAAACACAAATGATTTGACCAATATGTCAACTACTAGTGACTTCATAATTTGTTTTCTCTGTCACTAGTTATGTAAACTCCAGTCTCTTCTATCTCTCATTTCTGATTTTCTTCTTTCTCTTACTCGTTCACTGCAGTATTCATTATTTCTTTAATATATAACACATTCTTTTGTCTTTACTCAGATTCTGCCTAGAATACCTTCTAAGTTCTTATCTGTCCCCAAATAAGTCAAAGTCCATTTCCAGTGTCTACTTTAAAGGATAGAACTTTCCCTATCCTCTCAGTCATAACATCTTTTGCATCTTGCAGGTCTTAAAGCACTAATACATAATTGTAATGGAGTATTGAACGTCACATCCATTTTCATTCACAAAATATGAACTCATTGAGGTTAAAAATGGTGTTTTACCTTGGGTGCTCTATGGAACAAGTCTTTACCCAGTGCACAAAGTGGAC